ATTTTAAAACGTTCTTCCAAATTATGTCCTCATGAGATTATTAAGTTAAGTGAAGACTATTTTTACTAAGTAAAAATTGAAAAACTTGAAACAAACAATCACACTCATATATTTTTAACATAATTTTTTTATTTTTTTTTTATGTGCATAAACATGCCCATTTTGAAAGTATAGGTGACCATACATGACATTATTTTATGTGCATAAACATGCCCATTTTGAAAGTATAGGTGACCATACATGACATTATTTTATGTGCATAAACATGCCCATTTTGAAAGTATAGGTGACCATACATGACATTATTTTATGTGCATAAACATGCCCATTTTGAAAGTATAGGTGACCATACATGACATTATTTTATGTGCATAAACATGCCCATTTTGAAAGTATAGGTAACCGTACATGACATTATTTTATGTGCATAAACATGTCCATTTTGAAAGTATAGGTGAGTATACATGACATTTTCAGAAAATAAGATTGGTCATGATAGTAAATTTAAAGTCAACTCTCCTAAAATCAGATTGCGGAGAATATTTCCAACATTTTTAAGATTACTGAGTCTTAAAAATTATATAAAAAACGCATTCACTCATCATTTTCTTATATTTTAACAGATAAAGTCTCTGTAGAACAATAATAAAATTAACACCTGATAAATCATTTGACAAGCATTTAATCACCACTACTATTTGTTTTAAAAACCCATTTCTCTGTTATTTCCAACTTTCCAAATATTTTTTTCAAATCAAATTAATTATACTTTAAATCAGCTAATATTCCTCAAATAAAGTTTCAGAAAAGTATATTTCATTTTTGGAAGATTTTTTTTAATAAAGAAAAACTCATTGCAATGCTAGATGGCTAAAAATGGGCACTAATCAGCTATTTTTAGCCAAAAAAATGAATCGACTCCAACCAATAGAATTTCTGTTTGAAATACACTATAGAGTATTTTGCTTACTGTAAATAGTAAATTTAATCCTTTAGCTTTTAATTAAAGCTTCAAGAAAGATTTTTCATTTATGAAAATTCATTTAAACCTTAGGTATACTGAATTATTGGAGGTACCTAATTTTATATAGTGTTTTTTCAAGACTTACCCTGAGCAAAACAAATTCAGATTTGAACAAAAAAAAAAAAAAGAACACAGAATGATGTCAAAATCCAAAAATTTTTCATTCTTTAATAGTCAATTGTGCTTAGTTTAATTTGTAATGTATATAAATGTAGGTAGAAAAAAAGCAAATGTTGATAAGATAGCAAGAGTCACAAAGCATTGCCCAGGGCCTCCAATCAGCTCCTCCCCATTGACCAAGGATTCCACTGACCAGCCAATGATTACTCCCACATTGTGTTTTGATTCTCAATCTTGTCAATGAGCACTGGAAACTGAAAATATTGACAAAGCAGCAAGATGAAAAACAAACGCCACATCAAGAAATGAAAATACAAACTCTGCAGTCTAGAACTGGTACCAATCTCATGCATAAATGTTAACATAGAGCAACACCTGAATACATCCTATTTCCGGTTTTGTTGTCACTTGATCTCCAAAAATATCCCTCATCCACTCCTTTACTTCTATGTTCCCCTTTGATCAAATTGAATGCCACTTAGAAATCTAGACTTCAAAAAGAACCATCTGCTGGCTATAAAACAGAAATACTTGAGATCAAGATGAAATCGTATCTTCCTTTTCTATGTTGATGTCCATAGTATCACATATTTATATATAGATGTTTTATTCGGGACTTTGACTGCTCATTCAAGTAGGTACGTAGGTAATGCTTGGGAAAACTTCTATCATGACAGCTCTTTCCTCAAAAACTCTTCTATCAACACATCCCGACATATGGCTGGCAATACAAATAGGTGGTATCAGAACCACATGACAGGCAAGTCTGTCTCCTGCCAAGAGCAGACCAACACTGATTACGATCTCAAGCATGGCTTGTTAACATAGACTAGCGGTCAGATACAGCTTCTTTCCAGTTTGGTTGTCAATTGATCACCAAAAATCCCTCATCCACTCCTTTACTTCCCTGTTCCCCTTAGATCAAAGTAAATGCCACTTAGAAAACTAGACTTGAAAAAAGAACCAACTTCTGGCTATAAAAGCAGAAATACTTAAGATCAAGATAAACCAATATCTCCCTTTTTTACGTAGGTGTTCATAATGTCACATTAGCATAGTACCCATCAAAAATGATAGGGTTATTTATATATCAAACCTTCAGTTGTGAGTCCAAAGTAACTTACAGTCCAGATTACATCTATAGCATCACTTCCAAAAATCCTTTCAATATGATCAACGAAAGACATGTACAATTGCCTTATTTGATATTTTATACAGTTTTACATAACATTGGTCATCTTTGTGCTGTCACGGATTTAACAAAATTATGTTCATTAAATCTGATGATGATGTTTCCTTATAAAATGAAGGAATAATTGGATTTGAGGATCACACTCTCCTCCCTCACCCAGTTCT